GGGCTACTAATGCCGTGTCGGGAATCCCTGCGATTGCGAGCCGCCATGCGTAAGAATGCGATCGTGCGAAGAACACAGAGGGTGCCTCGGAGCAGCGCGACGCGGCGCGCGGAGCACGTGATATTTTCGACGCGAAATTGCCATGAGAACATACGGGTCCGGTCACATGTGCCGAGACCGCGGCGCGAGATGAGAAACTCCCGTATGCGTTTCGGTCGGGTCGTTGCGTCGATGATTAATAGGAATCGACGGGTCGTGGGTGTTGCAGCGGCGCGAAAATACCGTCGATAAATTTTCGGATGCCGCTGTAACGGGTTGGCGAGGGAACATTTTTCGTTCGTTCATCTTTTCGCTCTCGATCGAAGGTGGTTTGGTCCGCGCACTCTCGTAGTCGGTGTCGCGTAACAAACGGCGCGAACGGTTTGACGCGTGACACCGATTGCTTCGTTACCATTCCATTCGACGGAATTAATCGATCGATTGGGTGTCGCGCGTGGGTCATTCCGCGAATGAGGATTTCGGACAAACGCGAATAAATCTGGTCGGCGCGGTGCACGCGATACGCGGCGCGGATAATACAGGTTCGATTTCGCGACGCGGCGAGTTTGACGGGGTTGAAAGGAGCCGGGGTTAGCGACACGGGCTAGGAAATATCGGACGAACAGGTTGGATCGGCGAATCGGGATAACAGGGTTCGCGAGTAAGAGAGTGGAACGCGAGGATACGGGTGAACGAGGAAATATTTCATGAAATTACACGAGAATAGATCGTTATACGCGTGTCGTTGGATTCGACCCGGAACAGTTTTTCTCCGAGCGCGCGGCGGAGGCTGTGTGAGCGGAAGCGTGAAACGATGAATACGAGCTGCACGATTTCCATAATTTCAATAACGCGCAACTTTCTCGCCGACTTAATATACCGTAAAAATAATTACTGCCGCGGAAATGGATTCAGGAGCGATCGCGTAGCGCGTAGCTGGAAAGAAAAGGCGCGATATCGTCCAGTGGGGAGGACGCGGGGGGGTGCGTGCATTCATCGCCTCGCGAGCGCGAAGGGCCAGGCGAGAAAGAGATCCTGGCATCGTCGTAAGGGAGGAAGAAGGGCGCGTCTCGGCGTCACGAACACGACTCGGTTCGATGCACGAGCACGAACTTTCGTAGCTTGGCAATGCGATACATTGTTTTCGCGACACACGCGCACACGACGGGCATACACAGGGTTATGTGTACCAGCAGGAATACGTCGCTTCGTTTTTCTCTGCTTTCTCCGGTCCGTGTCTGCACAAGTGTATTTTCCCTTATATCCCTATATCCACAGGCAGCTTGGACTTCTTCTCTCCCTCGCTCGTCCTCTCCTTCTCTCCGAACGCATTTGTCGGCTCTCGAGTAGGCGTTATTGTGTTACACGGATACGACAGCTTTCGAGATGCCTCTGTTGGCGTACACGAATCCCGGGCAAACGTGATTATTTTTCGCAATTTGCTAAGCAGATGCCCCCATTGTGCGCAGCTCTGCCGTGGCAGGAGTTTGTTTTCGCCACCCCTTCTCGCTTCCACCCCTTTCTCCTTTTCCTCTGACCTTCTCTCCCTCATCGAGCCCTCGTCTCGCCGTGTCGACCAGCGACAGGATTTTTTTTTTTCCTCTCCTTTTTCCTCCTTTTTTTCTTTTCACCTGTGTACACGTCGTCGTGCACGCGTTCGCGTTTATTTGCGAATACACACGAGCCTCGCGACTCCGCGCCCCCTGCGCACCCCTTCTAGACGTACTCGGGTGTTCGTTGATACACGTAGACACGCGAAACGCGCGAATCCACGCACGCCGGGGGCTGCATATTTTAACCAACTTGCCTACGCTCATTGTCTTCTCGGAGTCCCCGTCTCTCGTTGCGCTATACATCGAGAAATAATGATCGTACCCAACAGCATTCTGCTCCTCCATCTATTCTTTGCGAGAGAGCAAAGCATCCGTGACAACAATGTTGCACTACGCTCGAGAGATTGCGCGAACCGTGTCCTTTTCTTGCTTCGATTGTGTCCTCCCCCAACGCCAGCAAGGAGGGTGAGCCTTGCGGATCGCTGCGAGGCTTCTTTCGCGGGATATCCTGTTTCTGTTTACGCCGAAACGTTCCGTCGTTGGGAACGCGAAAGGGGTTGTCGCACGCGCGTCCTCTTCCTCCTCTCTCGCGACCGCGACCGCGACCACGATCACGACGACGACGACGACGACGACGGGTCGTTGGGTCGAGTTAGGCGGGTGAAACGAGGCCTCGAACGAGAAGAATAAGAGAACGGATCGCGATGGCTCCTGGGTCGGTGATTAAAAACGATAATTTCGAGACGGGAGCAGGTTTGCGACCGCATCGAAAGCCGATATCGGTCTTCGTAATTTTCCGAGTCGTCTGCGCCGATCGCTTCTCGTTCTTTGATTCATCGCGTACCATCGCGCGGTCGATGCGCGTTTCAACGGCGTTTCGTCGAATCGCGGGATCGCTGAGAAGACGTTGGCAAGAGAATTTGCATTGATTGGCCCGCATAATTGAATCGCATTCAGGCTTAATGAGCTCATTGTGTACGCGTACGGTACGGTTCATCGAAGCGTGTCGTCGCGGAGGTATCGCGCGTCGAAGCCTTGGCTGATTCGATTGTCCCGACAGTTGAATTGCCGCTATCGAGAGTCGATATTCCGATTGTTCCAACGTCGAGCCACGCAGGGAACGAAGGTCTCGAGCCGAACGGACACACCTGTTTGCGTCTTCCTCCGAACGCGTGATTTACGCGCGTGCTAATTCGATTATTTTCGGCGTGCCTTCGAATACGATTTCGCCGCGTGACAAGCGGAAGGTGACGGATCGATGCTGCCACGATCTATCGAAGTCGCGGCACGCGTCGCGTCGCTGAGATTAATTCCACGAGGAGATTCGAATATCCGGTTACTCGCGACGAGCAAGTACAACCTCTTCCGTTCTACCCTCGCAACTGTCGTGACACTAATTCGGCTAACGACGCTTCGCTCGTCACTCGCAACTTTATCATCGTATAATTGCTCCACTTTCCGATCGACCTCGCGACTCGTCGTTACGAAACCGGATACCGTGCTCCTCTCCCGTCTTCCGCCTTCTTAACGATACGCATCGCGCATCGAGCTTTCCGTCGTGAAAAAGTTGCCGAAGCTCGCGCACTTGTTCCGGTAGAGCGGCCGGGTTGCGAAACAGACGAATTTCGAAGAATGGATGTGCCACGAGAGGCCACGAGAGTATCCGTCACGCCGCTTGCTTCCTCAAGGAGTTGCCTTTTTCGACTCATCTTCAGCTCCCGTGCCTGCCGCTCTGCTCTTCGCGATACATTATATTTTCCCGAACGCATTCGCGACTTTTTGCACCGAGGGGCTCCGGAAGTGCGCAGCGCGCAACTTTAACCCTTTTCTTCCTCGACTTCTCCTCTCCGCCGTCTTTTGACGATCCGTGATTTCGAGTCACGCTTCAAGAGCTTCGCGAGTACCTTTGAACGTCCCTTTCTCCAATCGGTACTCCCGTACGAACCTCTCCCTCCGTCTCTCTCTCTCTCTCTCTCTCTCCGCGTCTCTCTGACGCGCGTTTCTCTCGAATTTCGAGCCAAGAACGCGAGCGATTTTTCCCTTTCTCGAGTGAAAACGCGAAGCTTACCTAGGGGTACGTAGGAACGCGTTGGATTTACAAGGCGAATTTTGGAAGCGATTCGCGTGTATCGACGACGCGTTGAATCGCGATGATGTAAGGGAGGGAAAAAATAGGAGCCGAATTAAGGGTGGTTGGTGGGGGTTACACGGGCGGGTACGAGCGGGAAATGGTGGAAAACGCGGTGGAGTAGGTCGGCTCGGGGCGCGGAAGGGGCCGCGGGCGTCACTTTGGTGGTAGCTTACTCTGAAAGCGCTCATTGAAATGGCTCGCAGCGGTCTGACGTACCCGGATCATTAATTGAAATTCCGTTACGCAAATGCTACGTGCACTTACGCGCTTCCTATGCAGCGTGTTCGACGCGTTCGCACACGGACAGACGACCGTCTCGGGGATACGCTCGAGTACCGGCACCAGACTAGATTCTATCGTTTTTATCGAGGTAAATTAGCGAGGGCATGCGCTTAATTAGGAACACGCGTTCGGTTGGTATTCGCGTTTCGCTTAACGCGGACGGCTGTTTTTGCCCGGTCGTAGCGCAGTTGTAAAAATAATTGGACATGCCACATTGTTGCGCGACAGGGCCGCGGGTGGAAATGCGCGAGGGTCGGCTGGAATAACGGAGAATTAACGATACGCTTAAATAATGCGGCGATTATGAGAGTGGCGATAAGGTATTGTGCGCGGCATGCACGCGGTGTAAAAAAGGAAACGAAGCGAAGGCTCGCGCCGCAGGGTAGCGCGCGTTGTTTGGCCGCGTAATTATCGGTGGAAACAGTTCAGAAAATAATTAAAGCGTTTAAAGATCGAATGGGATCTCGCGAGTGCGCGTGGCGCATAAAGCACGCGTGGAAAGCCAACGACTTCGTTTTTGTCTCGCGTTCGGTCTCCGTCATTTTCCCGTCTCTTTTCCGCAGCCCTCTCCTCTTTCTCTCTCTCTCTCTCTCTCTTCCTCTCTGTGTACTCCGCACGCTGTGCACGCGACTTTCGGGATCGCTCTTTCGAAGTTCACCGGCAATCCCTGTGATGTCTGCCTGGCCTTGCGAGCACAAGAGAAAATGGCACTTTTGTGTCCCGGTTACTAATGCGTCTCGTAATAATTTCGTTTTTTTTGTCGACTGCCTTTTACGTGACTCGTTTTCTCGTCGCAATTTCTGGATCGCGGTCCCCTTCGTCCCCCGCAGCGCGCAGACCGTACAGAGACGACGAGCACGAGTGGAGAAAACGGGTACGAGAGACGCGCGTGGAAATCGGTGGACGGGAGGGAAAGATAAAAAAAAGTAGAGAGAAGAATCCGCCAAGTTTTATCTCTGGACGCTTGACAACGCGACATTTTGGATTATTTGCAGAAACGAGACATGGAAGTACGGACAGAGAGACCTCGGACGGCTGGCCGGATAGCACCGACCGGACGCGTTACTCCGACCATACATCAAACAGGTGGAGGAAGAAGAAAAGCGATACCAGTTCCGCCGCCGAGGGTGCCGACCCCTATGCCCACCGCCAACAATAATCAACAAAAGTAAGTAAATTATGTTCTCGATAGCCCGCGTCGCGTTTTTCCCTCCTGCACCTCGTGCAAATATACAACGTATCTATCTGCCCCCCGTCCCCCCGAAACGCTGTGCCATCGACCGAAACGAAGATGGAAGCGTCGATAGAGCGACGTTTCGTTCGCGTCGTCGTCGAAATACCACGCGGACGTGATCTGCGATTTACGCTTCGGGACGAAATTACGCGATTCGACAATCGCGTTATTAATTCCGATTTATTCCGTTCCGTTCCGTTTCAAATCGCGCGGGTCGATAGAGGGCGAATAGTAGGCGTGCGGAAGTATGACCGAGTATCACCGTGATTCGATTTCACGCGCGTTCCCTGTCGAGTCTCCACGTCGAACGATCCTCCGCTACGATTCCACGACCCTCGCACGGACAACGGGTGCGTGCTACCTTTCGCGATGTAATCAACGATCGTTGCCGTGGTTAAGTCAACCGTTTCCCTCGCGAGCTACGACTCCGTAATTTATCAATCGCTCGAGTTCCCGTAGATTATTTTCATTACCGTTCCTAAATCGAAACAATCGCGGTTGAGGCAGTGGTTGCGCATAGCCGCGCGTATTTACCGTTTTCATTGGGATCGGCGTTTCAGCTCGCGTGACGCAAGATTCCGACAAGACGATGAGTCTAGCCTACGTCTCGCGCGTGCTCGTAATCACTCATCCCGAATACCCAAACTCCGGCGATGAATAGAACGGTTGTTGGCAGACCGCGAGACTCGTATCACTTTCTGGTGTAACGTATGTCTCTCGGTCGACGATACGACATTCCGATTCGAGTTGCCGTGTCGAACGTCGGTGGAATAAGTGTGTGTGTGTGTGAGAGAGAGAGAGACGACGCCATTAAGTAAGTAGGATTAGGCGCGCGCGCGGAGTTTGGTCTCGACTGATCAAAGTTTACCGAGCTATACTACCGGTCACTCGAGGTACTCTCGACCAATTTCAAGATGTTCTCGGCTATATACGGTATTTCGCGTAGTTTCGACAGGGCCGACGGAATAGCTGGTAACGCGGCGTCCGATTCAATTACATTAGGCGTTCGATCGTGGAAGCGTTAGATTACGCTTTTTGGAGTTGCCACGTGCTCACGAGGTAGCGAAATGCCGAGCTTTCCTACGGTGTAACCGGTAACGAACCGGCGAAGGAGGGACCCTAGGGGAGGGTATTCTTAACGCGCGAATGGATCGAAGCGGAATGCCCGGGGATGCTTTTCGTTGTGGCTCGCAAAGTGACGTGGTTGTTCATCGTCCCTCTCGATACGGCATACAACTTTATCTCGCGGTTTGGGGGGATTTTCCGCAGGTTGCCGGCCATGCCGGGCAGCGGCCAGGGCCAGGATAGGCTCCATTAGCTACGGCGCAGCAGCGAAATAGTACAGAGAGTTTGGTCCGTCTGATTAAAGTTCACGAAACACGAGACCACCGGCCACTTTACCGATCTCTTCGACCAATCTACTTCGACCACACGTTGGGCTTCCGACGGTACACGGATTTGCGGGCTTCTTTACCGCCTCCATCGTATTAACTCCGGAGTACATAAACGACTATCGTTCCTTCGCCATTCGATCGTTATTTCTGCCTCTGCGAGATTAGCAAGTCCGATTGCACGAGGATACTCGATCGGTTGCGTTCGTTGTTTTAATTGCGCTGCTTTTAGTAGCTTGTTAACTAATGCGGATTATTAAGGGGAACGTTATTCCCGTTCAGGTATCGAAGAACATGGCGGTGGGATGAGAACTGGCTGGCTGCGTCCAGTCAGACTCGTTATTCCGCGACGCGGTGGCGGCTGACGTCGCAGCTACGATAGAGCCATAAAATGTATAGCGCACGTTGCCAACCACTTACCGTGCAACTTCTGTTTCGCGGTGCATTCGAGCCACGTAGAAGACTTAACGGAGTCCCCATATCCATCGGGCAACCGGCGAATTCATTTCCCAGACGTCCCATTACACCGCCGCGAGATGCCTTTTCGGCACGTCTACGTTAGACGTTGCACTTTCCCCTAAGCCAGCGCTATATCTCCTCTCTTTGCGTTCTTCAAACCGATCCTCGCGTTTTACGCGTTCAATTACGGAACTCGCTTTCGGGCGCCGCGACAGCGACGCGCGAATTTTATGGAAAAATTTACACAATCGATTCGATCTTTTCTCTTACTCGTCTCGCTCATCTTCTATTCCGGAAATTCAGTGTTCTCGCATGGCGACGTTAGCGATCGATGGTCGGCCGGTTGTTCAAATTTTTAACGAGTCTCGCATCACTGCGAAATTAATTACTTAACGGCTGCAGTTTTTTTCCACACGTTGAAAATCAAACCCGCGTTCTCTCTCCATTTCCTAGGGTTTATTCTCCGGCGTTATCCACGCAACTAGCTAACACGGACGGTGTCTTTATGTCGTCTGTGATATATATATATGTATATATGTATACGTTATTAAAACGCGATAAGTATCGCACACTGATGCGGAATGACTTTTCCTCCCTTTCAACGACGATGCTTCCGGCATGGAAACGTGGCTCGATACGTCGATAGAGAAGCACCTTTGGTAATTAATTAACGACAGATATTATTTCCCTCCGTGAATATGGGATCGCTAAAAAGTTGGTCGGGACTGGAAACCCGACGCGATCCTCGCACGAATATTCGACGAACGAACGAACCAACGAACGAACGAACGAACGAACGGTAGAGGGTCTTAATCCTGGGCTGGTGGTTTAAAGAGAGCGAGAGCGAACGCGAGAGAGAACACGGGAGAGGCGCTCGAGGGTCCAGGCGGAAGGACGAAAAGAGAAAGGTAGGAGATTAGAGATCTACAACTTATCTCGAAAAGTGGTTTCCGTCGTTGTACAAGTGGTCGTAAGCGGCTTAAAGTCGCATCTACGCGATTTCGGTGCGTATCTCTGGCGACTTTAATACGCGGATAGATCCGCGTTCTATTAATTAGAGATTCGAATCTAGTCGCCCGTAGGAACGCGTGTCTGTCGCAGTGGCGAGCGACGCCATTTTAGAAGGAAGCCGTTGGCGCAAGGGAGAAGAAAAGAGTGGTGACGTGCACCCAGACCCGTTTTATGTGCCATTTACCGCACGAGTACGCCGACGACGCGACCCGCGTCGGTCTACGTGCACGCGTGTACGCGAAGCAGCGGGCGTAGCCGACGATGGATAAAAACTCGCGAACGCGCCGGATTAAGATCGTTTTAATTTCATTGGTTCGGGCTAATTACCCCTCTCGACGATCGGCCTCCGAATTCCCGCGGTTTCGAGTCTCACGCGGACGCGTGAGACGCGTTCCATCTGCTCGTGCAGAATAGCCGCGCTCCAGCCCCTTTTCCCGTACCCGTTCGTTTTCTTTCCTTTTTTCCAACCCCCGTTTCCCCCTTCCCTTCCTTTTCACCAATCCCGATCGAGTACTAATACGAGAACGATCGCGCGGTCGGCGGAAGAAGCACGGCTCTGCGTGCTCACCGCGAAACGCGGATCGAACGAGCAGCGTGGAAAAGTTTGAAGCGTGATGTCCGCGGGAACGGGGCCAATTATCCAAAATGTCCGCAACCATGCGAATTTTTCCCGGGGGAATTTTAATTAATTAGCAGTGGACCGTGGATGCTGGAGCCGATCCCTCGGTCGAGCGGGGCGCGCGCGCTCACGGCCGCGCTCACGGCCGCGCGGAACAGGCAAAGGTTCATTAGATCCTTCGGCTCGGGCTGAAATTCTGTCGACCACAGGGCAAATAGTTCGCAGCCGCTTTATATAAAGCAGAGAGAAGCTTTGTATCAAAGAGAGCTACCCGTATGGAGGGATTCATTAGGCGGTATTTAGCATAGTTCGAACGAGCAATGGAAGCTCGGTCTCGGGGTGGTCGGGATGCTCGGTAGACGCGAGCGTCTCGTTGCACGAAGAATCGCCGATGCGAATCGCGAAATTCCACCTGTATCGTCAAATCAAAACGGCCAGTTAACTATGCGCGTCCGCTTACGTTGTAAAACCGACCTAACTATGTCTACTGCCACGAAACTCGACGTGGCTCGGAAGTGGCTCGCGATGCTACTGCGGGTATCTAATGGGGGTGGAAGATTCCATCCTCGGGTACCGGATCCGAATTCTCCGGATCTTCGATCCAGCGGGTATTTTCGATCGTGAATCATCCATCATTCAGAGTCGAATGTCTACGTTAAAATCGTAACGACGATTTTAAATTATCGCGGGTTCTTGATCAAATGCAGAGAGAGAGAGAGAGAGAGAGAGAGAGAGAGAGGGAGAGAGACGACGATGCAGCGGATGGTTGCAATGGTATCGATGAAAACAGGTAAACTGGCGCAAAGTGTTTATAGATACGGCTTTTGACTCAGTCAGAAGGCGCTGCTGCGTTCAGGTCGGTCGTTTCGCTCGGATATTACCTGGCTGGGAAAAAGTTAGTCTGCCAGTTCGTTAATGAACCGATACGGGGGCCACGTTTATTACTATTTACCGTGACAAGTGGGACGGAACTTAAACTCGCACTGGCCAGCCCGCAAAGCGTTCTTCTCCCGCGTCAAAGGATCAAAGCGCTTTCGCTCGCTCGCTCGTTCTGTCCGAGGATCGAGCAGGCGCGTATTCATTTCTTCGAGTGCGATCGTTGGGACGCGTGTGCGTTCCGAAAGGAGATAAAGAGGAACGCGCGGCGCGTGGCAAAAGCAAGCACAACTGGGAATCAAAACGGCGGTATATCTGGCAGTATCGATCTTACTCGCGAATGCAGTCGCTCGTAAGCTTTGCTCGTTATGTAAGGTTAATCTGGAAAAGAGTCTCTCTATTTGTATCCGATCTTTGTTCGTTTGTATATGATCCACCCCCGCCCGACCCCATGGTCATCGCGTTTTATCCGTTCGGCGCTCTCCTGGACGATACCTCGACCGCTCGCTTCTAATAGACTCCACTTTCCCCGCTTACTTTTAACGAGATTTGTTTTTCACAGGGCCCGATACCATAAT